GTAGCAGCAAAAGAATAGAAAAACAGTTTGAATTTTTAGAAGCCGAGATCGCACAGCTAACGAAATGTCATGAGGTAAAAAAATCACTATCGCATTTTAAGACACAATATAAGTCGCGTTGGTTAAAAGCGTACAGAATGGATGACAGATTTCAAAGAAATAATAAAGAGTGGCTGAATAAAGCTCTTTCATTTTCCCAAAAGAACGAAAACAGACGTGGTCGCCCAGAAGTGAGTTTTGAGTGTAGTTCTGAACGTACAAAACGACTAAAAACCAAAGAACTACGCGATTCTACATCAGCTTCGGTTTTAAGCTATGCTACACAGATGAGTTTCAGAGCAGAAGGCCATATAGATGCTTCTAGAATACTTAAAGATATTACGTCAACTACTGCAACCCGAGCCGCTAGATATAAAAAAGCATACAAAACTTCATTAGACTCCAAGCCAAATATCATGTCAGGAGAAGACGCTCTTGCTGTTTTAATTAGCGGAAAATTGTCTCGACACCAATATGGCGTCGGATAGATTTCCTTCTTACAAGGTCGTTCAGTCTGCCAAAAGAATGTGCTATCCTGATAATATCACATCTACAGAAACATCATTAAGCGTTCCTTTACAGAACTTACTCGATCATACCGTTCAGAGGTTAGTTCAAAGTATTCAACAGGTAGTGGAGATACACGTTAAAGACTTTGAATTAGATAAATTATGTCTTTACTCAAAATGAAGGTTCGATGGTTCCTCTGGGCACAGCTCCTACAAACAAGCCTTTCATGGACCAGAAGCTAGTGACTCCGCTGTGTTCATCACATGCATAGTTCCTGTGCGACTTATGTGTAACGCAAAGGTGATTTGGCAAAACCCTAGCCCAGCCTCAACTGTTTACTGTAGACCATTAAAAACTGAATTCGTTAAAGAGTCTGCGCAAGTTTCCATTGCAGAAAAAAAAGAGTCGATGCTGAAATAGATGAATTGCAAAACTCTACTACTACAGTTAACAACAGGAATGTCCATATACCTCACAAACTTATTTTCGCTATGGTAGACGGAAAAGTCTGCAATGCACTCACGGAGACAACTTTAACTCAGAAGTGCTTTTTATGTGGTGCAACATCGAAGAAGTTTAACAACGTTGAAGAAATGATCGGCAGAAGTGTCAAAACGGAAAACTTAAGTTTCGGTTTGTCAGTTTTGCACGGTTGGATTCGTATGTTTGAATGCATCTTGCATGTTGCATATAAAATGCCAATACAAAAATGGCAGGCTCGAGGAAATGATAAAATTGTAGTGGCTGAAAATAAGGCAAGAATTCAAAAAGAATTTAGAGAAAAATGTGGCCTAGTTGTTGATACACCTAAACCGGGATTCGGCAACACCAACGACGGAAACACCGAAAGAAGATTTTTTAGAAATGCAAAGTTGTCCGCAGAAATAACAAATGTTGACTTAGAACTTATTAAAAAAATCCATATTGTGATGGTAGTTGTTGCTAGTGGACATGAAATCGATGTCAACAAATTTCGACTCTATCTTCGTGACACTGCCAGATACTTTGTATCATTGTATTCATGGTATAACATGCCACCAACCATGCACAAGTATCTCATACACGGCCCTGAGTTGATAGCCTCTGCATTGCTACCTATAGGGCAACTAAGCGAGGAGGCACAAGAGGCACGGAATAAAGATTTCAAAAAATACATAGAACACAATTCAAGGAAGTGTAGCAGATCAAAAATAAATGAAGATGTATTCCACTTTTTGCTAATTAGTAGTGATCCACTGATCACATGCAAAAGAAATATTAAAAGAAAAAAATTAGAGCACCTGCCAGTGGAAGCACTACATATGTTGAAAGCTCCGATTGTGCAAGATGTTGAAGATGATAGCAGCAGTGCAAGTGAAAATGTCACATCTGACGATTCTGATGATGATCTATAATTTCTTCTTCTTTTTCTTATACTATATTTCCATCTCTTTGGTGGTCTCTCCGGTGGACGCTTCTCAGCTGGTTTTCTTTCTAGCGCAATTCTTGTTCTGTGCTCCTCCGTTCTTTTTACGTGACTGAACCATTCTCTTCGTATTTGCATATCCCATCTTACTACATCTCGCATGCCACATTGTTCCCTGATGATGTTGTTTCGTATTCTATCCCTTCTTATCTTCCCTGCTATTGCTCTTAGTGCCTTCATTTCGGCTGTTCGTAGCATGCTTTTGGTTTTACTGGTGTCTTATCTTGATTCAATGCCATAGTTGATAACAGGTCTGATGCAAGTTTTATAAATTATAACTTTGCTATCCATTCTCATACATATATGGATTATTCCAAACCACATCTCTCAAACATCCGGACATGACTTCGGCCTTGTTTATTTGTCTTCTTAGGTCTCTGGCTGGGTCATGATAACTTGATAGTCTAAACCTAGATATTTAAACTGGTTTAGCTGTTCTATGGGTTTCCCCTCTACCACGAGCTTTCATCTACTTGGGTATTTCACAGTGGTAATGCATTTTGTTTTCTGCGTGGATATGTTCATGTTGAGTCGTCGACATGCTTGATAGAATCAATAAAGTTTCCTTTTTAGGCCATCCTCATCCTCTGCAATCAGGGCTGTACCATCCACATAGCACACTATACCGATTCTACTGTGACCGAATCCGTATCCTAGTTGTAGAGATTTCACATATTCTATTATTTCATCCATTAGCATATTGAATAGAAATGGGCTGAGGTTGTCTCCCTGACTGATTCTCCCTGGTGTTGATATGCTGGCCGTATCTATAGTTTAAGTTTTTTAATATATTACATACAAAATGCTATGTTGTTTCTATATAAATATGTGCGGTAAATGCTTTTAAAGAACAATTTAGTTGGGTAATTTTTCTAAAACAATGTTAAAACAGTTGATTTGAGATATGAATCTTAACAAATATACATAAAAACAAGTATGTACATTAGAGTATAGAATTAATTAGAATGAAAATTGTTAAACTTCAGATATCATTTAAATCAATATCAGTAATAACCAGGTACATGCAGCTTTGAAAGTTAAGTTTGAGCAAAACATTTGAATAAGCCATACTTCAATGAAAAATATTTGGAAATCGAGGTCCAAAAAAAAGAAGAACATCCTGGTTAAATAACCTGAAAACCTGCGTCAACACAACATCTGTGCCGCCTTTCCGCGCTGCTGTAGATAAAATAAAGATTGACATGATGATCGACAACACTCATCACTGATAGGCACAGAAAGAAGAAGAAGAAAACATTTGAAAAAAGATCGTTTTTGTATATGTATACACTACTAACAACATTTTTTTTAATTTGGCTATAATATATTGACATCTCCCTCAGCTTTTCATGGATAAAGGCATCCAAGTATTATAATATTATACTCACGTTATTTATTAAATGCAATTTACTATATTTATATATTCATATACGCTATTTATTTAAAATTTTTATATATACACATATTTCTTATTTTATTTATATATTTTATCTATACATATATTTTATTTATACATATATTTATAAAACTTTTATTTATACACTGATTTTATCTATACTTATTTATTTTTTATCCTAGTCTATAATAATTTTAAGTTTAATATAAGACGTGAATCCACTGCAGAAGCGACCTCAGGGAACTGAACCATAATGAACCCCAAAGATCAACCTGGTATACAGATTTTGCAGGTGAACGTAGGCAGGGCGCGCCGAGCTCACGACCTCATCTACGCAAAAGCCTGCAAGCTAAACATAGATCTGCTCATCGTACCCGAACCTAACAAAAAGATAACGACAAGCGGTGGGTGGATTCAAGACGAGGGAAAAATGTAGCGGTGCTCATTAAAAATAGGGATGTCGGAGTGCAGAGCATTGTCAGGGGAGGAAATTATTTACTCATTAGGTTGAGGGATTTCAGCCTCCTGGCATGCTATGTATCTCCAAACATCCCTATGATGAGATACGAAACAATCGTTAATGAAATAATGGGTGCCGCTATAAACAAAAAACAAATATGTAGTGCATAAAGTTCTTCCCCAATTTTAAATTTAACGTTTGTGTGTCCCTCTAAGTGTTTCTGTTTCCTCTTTAAGCGTATTTAAGTTGTCCTTAAGGGTTTTAACTTTAATAATTTTATATACATGACTTTGCAATAATTAACATTTGCCAATACAACTTTATCAAAGAAATTTGATAATTACAAGTTAAAAGAAGTGTACGCCCACACAATCTGTACATCTACTCTTATTCATTTTCATAAAACTGTCACCTTCATAACATAAATACTCAATAAATAACACACATTTCATAAATATATCTCTGGAATAAGTATAAATAACTTTTAAATAATACAATAAAGAAAATCACTTTCATCTTTCATCTAACAAACACAATCAAATTACACCTATCTCTAATTCATTGGATCAAATCTATCTCCTCTAGAACTTCCCGTTTATTGTCAAAACAACTACAAAGCAGACTTAAGTTCTCCATTCAACAACACATGATATTTTCAACCATGTCCTACCATCCATCAATTAATAGAGTACCGGCATGTAAGTAATGTTTTATTTATTTGCTCATATATTAATTTATATAATATAATATAATATAATATGACTATTTTATAACAATTTGTGGGTCTTACCTTGTATGTTAAAACTTTTTATATTTTTATTCAATTTTATTCACAGACCAAAATGAAAACCACAGACATGTAATATTGGTATAATTACTGTAATTTGTAACATCTAGTTTATTTATCTTTATTAGACACCACCCTAATATGGGTTTTATTTTATTTCAGCATTTGTTTAACTTTGTATCGAGACCTGAAGATGCTTTGCATATTATAGAAAGCGAAACTGGTCGTCTGATAGTTAAATTAAATTGATTGTAAATCTTATTTATTATTTCTTTACCTAAATAAAAATATTTATTCTAGAGAATTAATTTCCATTTTGTTACTGCGTCTGAGGCATAATTTTAGATGTTCAAAATATATGCTTAGACGTATATTTGTTTTTGGATATATTTATATGCGTGTAATGCGTTACAATCATTAAAATTATATTGTCTATGTAAGCCATACGCTAAATCAATTGTTATGTTAATTTTAGATGAGTGGAAATGGCAATAAATATGCACCTTATTCGACAAAGGAAAGAGTTCTTCTAATCCAGCTGGTTACAGAAAACCCCGTGATAGAGAACAAAAGGACAGACAATGCTTCGGCAATGGAAAAAAAGATGGCTTGGAAGTTGATAGCAAGAAATTATAACTGCCAGCCTGAGGTTAACAACATCAGGACCAGCGAGCAGCTTAAAAAATTGTGGAATAACCTAAAACAAAGGTAAAATACTTTTATTAGTTTAAGCAAATGCTTAAGTATTGACCAATTATTTTTTTATCATAGAAAACGCAAAGAAACAACAGCACTGCGTCACAGCATGTTAGCTACAGGTGGTGGTCCCCTGATAAAGCCAGAGCGTGATGGAGTGCTGGAGTTTGTTGAAGAGGCTGCTCCCAATATTGATGTCAGCATCGACTGTCCTTTTGACAGCACAGCTGTCTGTGAAAAAGGTAAATGTACTAAATTTGTAACTGTGCTTTACTCATAGTATAATTGTAGCACAAGAACAGCTCCACCAGCCAGGAAGCTCAATAGCAAGATCATCAGTAGCCTCTGATCCTCCTTACTTCTTTCCCACTACAGAGTTCAAAGAAATGGACTTGTTATGTAAGTATGATGTAATAATGTTGAGCAGTCTTCCTGTACACTGAATAATAGTTTCAGATAATACTTGTAGTGTGACACCTGCTGTTCATACAGAAGAGGATGATTATTTTGTGCTTCAAAGTGGTAAGTATTTTAAATGTAGTTAAAGTCATATGTAACAATAATATCTATTTTAGCAAACACTCCTACTTCTAGTAGGGCACTGGGTGTTATACCTCAAATATTTTCTGAACATAAACAACGGTCCAAGAAAACGATAGATACCATCAGGCACCAAGAAGAGATTCACAAGATGAGAATGAAAATTTTAGAAGTAGATATGCTGAGGGCAAAAGCATTACAAGAAGCAGCTGAGAAGGATAGGCAGAGAGCTACTGATGAAGCTGAGTTAGCTTCATTAAAGTTATTAGACTATAAAAACGGGTAATTATAGATTTTATCAGGTTTGACTTGTTACTGAAATTTGGCTATAATTATTGGTATATTTTCAGGCGCTAGAAGAACATTTCCTTTGTTGGATACCCTGCATTTTTAGAGAGGATGTTAGGAATAAGCCACAATATATTTATTTACATATTTTATTTACTGATGTTTTTCAATCTATAAAACCAGAGGCTGTTATCATAGATACAAAATTGTGATTTATTTTCAGAAAATAAACATTGTGGCTTATTCCCAACTGAAGATAGTGTTTCGGAAGTGTTAACTCAGTCTTACACTGGCCTTTTCACTTTCGGAGCACTGAATGTCAGAGGAGGGTCTGTTTTAGCAGGTAGGCATTTGACGTAGAGTCAGCGACGAGAGGGCGTTTTAAAGTACCTCGGGAACTATCGCTGGGACTACGAAGAATGAATCCTGCACTAAGGTTAGTCAGGTGGCGTCCTGAACTGAGATGTCTTTTGAAGATTTCAGACCCCCCCTCTATAAAGACGAAAAAAAAATAAAATAAAAAACAAGTATACCTTGTGTTGTAAAATTATGGTTATTTTCTTTCTATTCTCCTTCCTGTTTATTTTATTTCTAGATAGTATTTAATGTAGATTTAAGGTTCTTAATATTTTAATTTCAGCTGGTGAGATATGGTTTTACCTTTTTATTTGTTGTATAGTCTTTTGTTTGTAGATTATGTATGTTTCTTTTTCAGTTTTTTAAATATTGATTGCAACACATAGATCATATTTTTATGTTGTTTACTGAAAATTATTAAAATGCTGAGTTTGCATAATTTTTAGTAAATTGCTGCTACTTCAATATATCGTCGACTTAATCAGAAAAACCCGTAAGTCCACTTTTTGGCTAATTGGACATTTTGGTGCCATCCTGTAGAAAAAAAAATAATGTACACTCTGGTAAAATCCCGTAAATCCGCAAAAATTCTTTGAACAGTTACTGTAATAATATCTTTCCCCGTAAGTCCATGCCTATTAAAAACCAAAACGTAAAACCCGTATCTCCACCAATGGTTACGACGAGGTTATGTAAACAAAGCAGCGTGCTGCGAGGTCCACTCGTTTTATCGATTGTTGTATTATAGTTTAAGTGTTGGAAGAGCCACAATATGGAAGGCAAGTATAGAAACAATTTACCTTTCTGTTTGAAAAGTTTATTTTATAGCAATTCCCTATTTTAAGTTGATATTGGACTTACTGGTTTTTCTTTGCGGAACAAATAATAAATAATAATATTAGAGGGAGTTACGTGTTTTTCGTACTAATGATCTCAGTGGCTAAAGAACATTATTATTATTTACACCCTCACACACACATTCACTGTTTTAATGTTATTGAAATTTAATTAATTATACCAGTGATTCTCAACCTTTTTTAGTCATGGCACACTTTCAATCATTTCAATATTTGGCGGCACAAAACGAAGTTTAAAAGCTGTTTAGTTAACTATAATAACAGTGTCCAAAATGACATTATGGCTATTTTTGAACATTTCTAAAATTTGACGGCACATTTTAATAACTTCGCGGCACAAAAAAGTGCCATTATTAATATTATTTTTTTATTTGGTCACAGAAAGAAAAATGGAAAGCGGTTTGTGCTTCTTCAACAGCAGAAGTCAGAAAATTAGGTCACTTTTAAGTTCTCGTACTCAGGATAAGGTGGAGTCAACAGGCACTGATAACAAATTACTTCTCTTAGATATTCCTGAAGTTACCCACGGAATATATGAATCAATTTTAAAAGAAGACGAAAGTACCGAGAATATTAAATTAAGCTGCAGTACGTCAAGCGATAACGCTATTTCTCAAAATGAAACGGAAGTCAGTATTTCCATAAATGGCAGAAATCCTAATCAATCTGAGGCGTCCAACGTAGAAAATTATGAAGATACTTGTTCACTTGCTAATTTGGAAGATAATCCCTTGTTTTATGTCGAAATAGACGATCATAATATCATTAGTACGGTAGGCCACACTATGGAGCTAGACGAAGAGTTATTGGCAGCAGCAACCAGTCAAATTGATAGTTTTAAGATGATTAATGAAAACGAAGATGATATACCGGTATTAGAAAGCAGTAATAGAGTAAATGAAATGCCTGCGATTGATACTGATACTGAAATAACTAATTTAGTAAAACCCGATGAAAATCGTCATGAGGAAAATACGTTAACTTCAATGGAGAACAAGACTGACAAAACATCTAGAGAAGTTCTTAATACTCCAATGTTACGTAACCCAAATCAAAATAGCGTAGGTGATCCAGATTTTACTCCTGAATTAAATGCTGCTAATACAAGTAGTGACAACAACTCAAATAAAGCTGTTGAAAGAAAACGAAAGAAAAGGCAGTTTGTTAATACCGACGACTGGTCTGAAAATAAAAGAAAACAAAGACGAGAAAGGGGAAAAGAGTATATCGGGCGTAAACTGATTGAAGGAAAGTGGAAATATGATATAAAGAGAGAAGCCAAAAAAATGAAAGAACCATGTAACTGTAAAGCATCTCTAAAGGGTAAATCACTAAAATGCAGAATGTTTTCAGAAGAAGAAAGAAAACAAATATTTAATGCCTTTTGGTCAGATATGGGATGGAAGGAAAGAAAAATGTATGTGTCACTTTTGATTGATTCTAAAGCACCTCAAAGAAACAGAAATAGAACTACAGAGTGTAAATCAAGAAGAAATGAGACATTGGTTTATTATCTAAAAATTAATGAAGAAAGACAAAGAGTATGTAAACAAATGTTTTTAAACACTCATTGTGTGAAAGAAAATATGATTTTAGACTGGTTAAAGAATTCGAAGGTAAAAGTAAAAAATGTTGAAAAGGCTGTGATTAAAACAAATCGGTACAAAAATATGAAACAGGAACTAAAACAGTTTTTCAATAAACTGCCAAAGGTTGAATCTCATTATTGTCGGGCATCATCGTCCAAATTATACCTAGAGCCTAACTGGCATTCAAAATTCTCACTGTATAGCTTCTACAAGGATTGGTGTAACCAGCATAATCAGTCATTTCTGTCAATTGCCTCATTTACACACGTTTTTGAAGAAATGAATCTTTCTCTTTTTCGAACGAAAAAGGACGAATGCGACAAATGCGTGGCCCATAAAACAGGAAATTTAACCGATGATGAATTTAATTTGCACCAGACAAAAAAGGAAGAAGCAAGAACTGAAAAATCCACAGACAAAGAATCTGACAATAAGGTATACTGCATGGATTTACAATCTGTTTTGTTATCACCCAAGTCAAACGTCTCATCGCTGTATTTTAAAACCAAACTTATTGTACACAATTTTACGTTTTTTGATTTAAAAACTAGTAATGGATATTGCTATATCTGGCACGAATCTGCAGGTGGTGTTACTGCAAGTGACTATGCTTCTATCATTTGTCAGTTTATAGTTGATCATGTAAAAGTTGATATGAAAACTGATCAAAAGCTTATAATTTACAGCGATGGTTGCACGTCGCAAAACAGAAATTCTATATTAGCTAATGCTCTACTTAATCTCTCTATAACTTTAAACATAAATATTGAGCAAAAGTTTTTAGAGAAAGGCCATACCCAAATGGAGGCAGACTCGATACACTCCACTATAGAAAGACAGATTCGGACGACCAACATAAATGTACCAGCCGATTATGTTAGAATTTGTATGAAGGCGCGACAAAAACCAAAACCCTACAAAGTCTACTATTTAGAATACAGTTTCTTCAAAGATTTTCGTAAAATTCAATTTATGACTTCCTTGCGACCGGGTAAAAAAATTGGTGACCCTCTGGTAACAGAGATTCGTGCATTACGATACACCCCTGATGGCTCTGTTTTTTATAAACTTAGACACCCAGACACTTTTGTTGAACTTAATTTCAGTCGTGTGTCCAAAAAGAAACGTATTGAGACAGCTTGTCTACTAAACAATCTCCCCAATTTGTATGATTCACCAAGACCAATAAAAAGAGAAAAATATCTTCACTTGCAATCCCTTAAAAAGAGTCTTGAAAGTGATTATCACTGTTTTTATGACAATTTGCCCTTCAACTAAAATGGTTTATTTTTACGTACCTGCTGTATTTTCTACATTTTGTACTGTCTGCAAATAGTTTAAAATAAACAGATTTGAAAGTAAATTTATTTTGTTTTTTTTTTGAACTTGTATCAAGCAATAGTAAAACACGTATGTTCAAGTTTTTTAAGAAAAAATGTTGGAAAAACACGTAAGTCCCTTAAAACTAAAGAAAACTTGTTTTGTGCTAAATAATTTTTATAAGTTGTGAAAGAGAGTTTAAAAAACAGTTGTACACATGTCTGGGCATAATTGAATAAATATTTAATTTTTTATAGCGTTTTTTAGCGCTCCTATACAATTTTACTTACGGGACTTACGGCCTTTTCAGATTAAGGCGACGATATATATATATATATATATATATATATATATATATATATATATATATATTATATATATATATATATATATATATATATATATATATATATAATTAGTATAATGGTAAGGTTAATTGGGTTAGCAGCTGAATAATGAAAGCCAAAGTGTGCTCTTTTCAACGATTTCGTTATATTTCGTTAAATTTCTTTAACATCTTCAGACGAATGTTGTGTGAGGTTGCAGGCAAAAGTGGTATTTGAAAGTTCCATGTTGAAACACTTTTTTGAAGATTTTTTTAAAGTAAAAAAATAAGTTGTATGTGTTATATGGTGGCTTGAAAACTCAAACAATACAAGTGCATTTTTGTTATATTCCTCCAGTGTGATAGTACAATACAAATATTAAAAAACATTGAACATTTAAGAAACAAAACAGTTAAAACACAACTACATATCACATTGTCATTTTTTGGACCAGTCTATTCACCTATGCACAAGGAGGTGGAAATTTAGTGTGTACCTCCTTTAAAGGCACTTTTGCCTGCAACCTCACACAACATTCGTCTGAAGATGTTAAAGAAATTTAACGAAATATAACGAAATCGTTGAAAAGAGCACACTTTGGCTTTCATTATTCAGCTGCTAACCCAATTAACCTTACCATTATACTAATTAATAATTGGACAGCTGTGATCATTCTTCCTTTATATATATATATATATATATATATATATATATATATATATATATATATATATATATATATATATATATATATATATATATATAATTACATCATTTTTTTGTAATGTTTTTATTTGTTTTACAGTTTACTCCTGGAGAGCTATAAAATAAAATAATCTATTTTATATTGTATTTAATTATAACTGTATAATTTTTTAAATAAAGAATATTAATATTCTAAATTTGTATTAATTTTTATTTGGTAAGGAAAGGTTTTATGAAAGGAATAAACACTTATACTGTTACTAATAAAACACTCGTATTCTAAGGTTATTCCGTATTTATACCTAGAATAGTTATCCTAAGTATATGGTAGATATAATACTAAATAAATTTGTTACAAATAAACTCGGTATAAACTCGTTATAAGTATTCCTATTTTATTCCGAAATAATCGTTTGGCAATGTCGCAATCTTTGGCACAAATACATACAACAACATATTGAGTGAAATATGTCAATTTTGATTGTTCTTTGAAACCGACAACTGACACCAAATATATGTTTATTTGCTATCTTGTTGCTTGTACGTTTAGTTTGGTTTAGTTTGAGTATTTTAAAATTGGAACAAGAATTGTAAAATTGAACAAATAAAAGAGAACGTTGCGTTAACAGGGAAAGTGAAGAAAAAGTAAGCAAACTTATTTATTTTACTTATAAATGTGTAAATTTAAATATGTTGATTTCAGCATCTTTTAAAGAATATTGTCCAAGATTATTTACATGTTATAGAAAATAAAGACCTTAGTACAAACACTAATAAATCAAAGTTAAATGCATGGCTGCAAATAACGGAGAGGTAAGTGTTTACTTAAAATTATATACTTCCTCAAAACCTTTTTTTTATTTCAAACCATTTATTTAACAAATTTATATGGTTGGTTAAAAAAATGTTTTTATCTATTTAAACAATCTGATACTAAATATTCAACTTATTTTAAGGTTCAATGCTGCCAATGTTAGAACAAGGGACAAAAAACAATTGATGAACCAGTGGAAGTTGGCCAAAATAAATTGCAAGAAGCAAATGGCCCAGTTGAGAAGAGAATTAAATAAAACTGGAGGTGGTCGTAAACCACCATCTCCTTCTCCTGAGGTATTGGAGATAGCAAAAATGATTCCCCTTGAGTTAGAAGTGGATTACAATGAATTTAACAGTGATGGTGTAAAGGTACAATATTGAATCTAGTATTTTCTTATTATATATATATATATATATATATATATATATATATATATATATATATATATATATATATATATGAAGTATAAACTAAACCTTATAAAAGCTTTAAGCTGCAGATTACATAAATTGACACATCCAATTAATCGAAGGGAATCCCTTAAGTTATTAAGAAATATTCTAATACAGAACTCATATCCATCATCTATCATAAACAAATACCTTTACACACAAAGCTATGGTTCCTCGTTTGATGACATACCCAATGGTGACCAACTCAGAACTATTTCCAATAACTCAATTAATAGCATTGTTCTGCCTAATACTGAGTCTGAGAATCCTATTATCCATTATTCTTCTCTACCTTATTTTCCTCAAGTTACTGAGAAACTTATTAAACTGTATAAACAAAATAACATTCCTGTTAAAATTGCTGTCAAGAACGCAAAAACTGTTAGAAATCTTTTTTCAAAAACTAAAACACCATTGTCTACTTTAGAACAAGTCAATACAATTTACCACCTTCCATGCTCTGATTGTGAATTGTTCTACATTGGCCAGACCGGTAGATCATTAAAAGGTCGTCTTACTTCCCATCGTAGTGATATTAATTTATCAAAAAATACGTGTGCTCTCGCACAACATGCTATTAGCACCAAACATAAAGTGGATTTTAATGAAGTTAAGATTCTTGGCACTGAACGTAATCTATTTAAAAGACAGTTTTTAGAAATGTGTTCAATTCTTAAACATCCTAATTCTCTAAATAAGAGAACTGACATAAGTAACTTGAGCCAAATTTATCATGCTCTAATATTGCAGAACTAGGCTTTACTTTCATTTTCAATATAATTATCATGTAATATACATATTTGAACACAATTTTTTAATGAATAATATAACATAGCAAATAAATAACTAATATAAAATAAACTGTAACACTCAATTCTTTATACCAATTACTTAAATATAGGCAACTTTCATTACAAGGTTACCTCTACACTATAATTTGTCCATATGAGTGTGAACCAGTCACTATTTAATAGTATAGTAATAATATTAACATTGTAATTGATTCATAGAATCCTTTACAAATTACAGATCTAAGTGTCTGAAGCTTAGACTGTTGGAAATTATCTAATTGTTATTCACCTGTTGGCAAAATTTTTTCAGCCACAATGTTTAACATAAATTTAAATATAAGAGTTTGAATGAAATTCTCCTGTTTGTTTGTTTTTAGACGGGCTAATGCGAGTGATTGTTATTACTATATCAGTCTCTTTCATTGGATTGTCTCTTACAAGCGGGCTCTCATCCAAATCTCATTAACTTTTAAATAAACCGCTCAATTATTTGAGGTGGTACCTCTGACCTTGCTGTTCTGTTGAAATAATTTCAACCTCAAGGTTGGCTGTCTTTTCGTGGTTCTGTGTCAGTCTGTTCAATCTAACGCCATTTTCCTGGTAGCAGGTGTAAGGCTTAGACCGGTAACTTCATTCTTTTACACTTATTTTTATTGTTAAATTATATTAACATCTTTTAATAATGCTACCAAAAGTTAAAATTAAAGTTTAATAATTATCTATTGTTGGAAGTTAATCGTTGATTTTCTTAGTTCTTTGCATCAATTACGTTATAATTTAATATATATTTTTTATACTTCTGACCACATGGTCACTCACTGTGCTAATTTTTTAATAAGTCACTAAATGTTGTTAGTAAATTAAATGTTTATACATTTCTACTTTATATTGTCCATTTATTCAAGTTTAATTCATAAGCTTGTTAACATCTTTGACTGCTACATGTCTTTTAAGGTAACACCTGTAACATCTTTTCCATGATTGTGTGGTTCTTATATTATACTTTTTAGAATGAACTGATGATGCTTTCAGAATACGAAAGCGAAACGTTTTCAAAATAGATAGAGTGGCACATCAACTTTGTCTTTCATTTCTCCACCTACAAATTGACCGATATAAGAGCCCACCACTCTGTTGAGTGATCCTTTTATATATATATATATATATATATATATATATATATAATATATATATATATTATATATATATATATATATATCGATGGTATAGTGCACAAATGTGGTAAGTACAAATTTTTAAGAAAATTAGTTAAGTACACATAGTACATTATTTTGAACCAAAGTTTATTGTGCACAAATGTGGTAAGTAAATAATGAACCGTGTAAGAAATACAAGTTGACATAATGTGTTAACTGCTAAATATAAGAAAAATTAAATGAGCCAAATGTTGTATGTGCCCTTACCACAAATGGTTTCTCTTCACTGTTCTAACATGAATGCACCAATGTGGTAAGTACGCACATACCACATTTTGACACACAAATTGGCAACGCAGCCTTACTGTCAGAGTGAACTTGCCACTAGTGTAAGCAAAGAATCTTTGGTGTAAGTAACAACGTATTTGCTCCGTTCCATTTTAATAAAGTTTAATATTATTTGAAGTCTAAAATAAGTGAAATATGAATAGTAGAGCACATCGTCTAGTACAACTTGCGTGTGAACAACAAAAAACAGGTAAGTGAAACATAAAAACTAAGACATGGATCTTCATAACCTCTAAATTGGAAATTATATTATTTTAGAATTAAAAATATATTTGTAAATACTAACATTTTTATTTATCTAAACATTGCAAAACAGGTTGTATTGTGTTTTTTTTTGTTTCTAGCAGAATTATTAGATTTGA